AGAAGTGGGCTGTAGTCCACGAAAGCTTATGCTCTAATAAATTTGTTAGTCTCTAAGGTGCCACAAGTCCTCCTGTTCTTCTTTTTGAGGAATGATTCAGAGTGTCATTAGGATCACTAATTTTTCTGCTCTCATTTCCTTGTATCTCTCCTCCCTCTGTATCTCTGAAATTTTTCTCCTTATTGATTAGTACTTTCTCTTCTCCACTCTTATCTACTGTTTATGCACTTTACTTTTTTTGTTCCATCTGTCTTTTTTGTCCTGCACAGTCACCCATTCCCCTGGGTCTTTGAGTTTTGTTGGGTTTCTGAAAGGCACCAGGACAACTTTTACATGAGTATTGTGAGCAAAATTGTGTTCTAATCAACTTCCTTCATTACTCTTTTTAGCATGCAGAACATTAAAGAGGAAACATTTATTTTCCCTTTCCATTAAGTACTGTAGCAAGTTTAAGTAACTAGCAAGTTTCCCTTTTCAGCTGGGTGCCTGTGCAAAGACTTCTCTGCACAGGGGAAAACCTGCTAATCTGATTCTCTTGTTATGGGCAGAAGAACAGTACATGTAATTAATTGAAAAGCAAAACTTGACTAAGATCCACTCATACAGTCCAGACATTTTATTTTGTAGCTAGCTTGGTGTGCAAAAGCCATGGAGCAGCTTTTCAGCAGCTGTTGCTGGCAGCACACTGTGATAAATTTAATCCAACATTATTGTAAATGCCAGATGAATATTTCGATCAGGCTAGGAATTTCTAACCCATAAATGAGAAACATTTTAAATGCAAAATTAAAACTGAGTGGCAGATTCTAGATATTCTAATATTTACTTTATTAACCTTCCCTATGTCTGGGATTCTGTTCAAAGGCTCTGGTGAAATCTACTTGGTCTTCAGCTACTTAATTTTTATACATATGTATCTATAATTGGAGAATTCAGGGTGTATTTTAAGTGGCCAAATTATCACTAAATCAGTGTGAATTTTTGATCTAAGGTTCTCATGGTAAGTTTGTCCTCTATTTTAAACTTTACTCCTTGGAATAGTCTCATGAATAGCTAATACCCATTCTAGTGGTGGCAGTCAGACCATTTTACTCCAGCATATTTCAGTACAGCATACAAGAATGTAGGACACTCATTCTTCCCAATACTAACTCAAGAGTAGCCAGTATTGGGCAATCACAATGTAAAACCCTCTCTTCTTTAAAGTAAGAAATTAAATATTTGTCAGTGGGAAAAACTGTCAAAAGCATTTAATGGATCTTGTGTGCTGAAATCTCCTGACTTTATAAGTCACTTAAGAACTTTTGAAAATCCTGCCCTGCACCTTTAAAAGCCTCTCTCTTATAGTTGCATTTTTGCACAATACATTGCATTCTCCCTTCCCTCTCACCCCCACAAAAAAAAAGGTTTACCGGGCATGTTTGTTATCTTTGAAAATAAGTGGACCTATTTGTAGAATAAAGCTTGCTATAAAACAATTACTCCTCTCTCTTGTTGGGGTAAAATATGCCTTCAGGGTTTTTTGTTTGTTTGTTTTTGTTTTTTTAACATTCTATAGTTAACAAAATCACTCCTTTTTTAATTCTACAGCTGTCTCAGTATGAACCACCTCCAGAAGAGAAGCGTGGTGAATAGGAATGCTTTCACCTTTTGGTTACTTAACTGAATAAAGGGCTTCATCAGAAGTTTACTGTCTTGACTTTTTTTGAATATAAATATCTTGAAACATTTTATGCAATATGTTGGTAATCATCTTACAACTACATGAATTGCCTAGGGAAGTTGTGGAATCTCCATCCTTGGAGATTTTTAAGAGCAGGTTAGACAAACACCTGTCAAGGATGGCCTAGATCAGTGGTCTCCAACTTTTTTACACCCAAGATCACTTTTTGAATCTAAGGGCAACCCAGGATCTACCCCGCCCATTCCCCGAGGCCCTGCCCCACTCATTCCATCCCCACCCTCACTCACTTTCACCGGGCTGGGGTAGAGGGTTGGAGTTCAGGAGGGGGTGTGGGTTCTGGGCTGGCGCTGAGGGGTTTGCAGTGTGGGAGGGGGCTCTGTGCTGAGCGTGGGGCAGAGTGTTGGGGTGCAGGCTCTGGGAGGGAGTTTGGGTGCAGGAGGGGGCTCCAGGCTGGGGCAGAATGTTGGGTTACCGGAGGGGGTACATAGTGCTGGCTCTGGGAGGGTCAGTGCTGGGGTGCAGGAGGGGATATGGGGTGCTGGCTCTGGGGGGGGGGTCAGGGCTGGGGGTTGAGGTGCAGCCTCCCACTGGGCAGCACTTACCTGCAGTGGCTTCTGATCGGGGGCGGGCACAGTGAGGCTAAGGCAGGCTCCCTGGCTCCACACTGCTCCCAGAAGGGGCCAATGTGCCCCTGGGGGTGGGGGAATGTGGCTCTATGCACTGCCCCTCTGCAAGCACTTTGCCTGCAGCTCTCCTGGCCAATGTGAGCTGTGGGGGTGGTGCTTGCAGGCAGGAGCAGTGCGCCGGGGTAGGGAGTCAGCCCCCCGAGATGGCGATCGATTGGTAGATCTTCTAGGACCACTGGTCTAGATAATACTTAGTCTTGCCATGAGTGTGGGGGACTGGACTCAATGACCTCTCAAGGTCCCTTCCAGTTCTACAATTCTATGAAAACAGGCCTTATGATTCTTAAGGTAATCTGCAAACATTCTTCTGTAGAGTTCTAAACCTAACTTTTTATAAGCTTTTTTGAAGGAGTTAACTCATCTGATGTGAATGTTATACCTTTCAGAACAGGCTAACATTAAGACTCATCTAGCACAAAGTGCCTGAAGTACAGTGGATAATTTCAGTAGCAGTATTAAAAATGAGTTAAATTGTATTAATATGAAAAGCAATATTTAATCTTATCTGAAAGGTGAGTTCTATTCCTTGCGATTTACAAGTGTGAGGATTGATTACATTACACAGCAAAAACCCACCATTGAAGATCTATAAATATATGTTTAATGAACTATACGCTAAAAGACAAGATGTGAGGAAGGGATGAAGTTAAGGTGATAAATGCTGGCAGTCTCCATGGCTACACCATCTTATAGGGTGGGATTGTCATCCCTTTACCACACGTGCTATTACGTTTATCTGGCTGACAAATGATTTAGGGTGGCAGTTCATTAGGCAAATCAGAACTAAGATATTGCTGGTATTCACTGTAAGGTTGAAAAAAACTGTAAGGTTGCCAACTTTAGATAAATTCCTGGAGATTTAATCACATGACAATCTTTAATTAAACATTAATCTTTACGTCAGGGAGACTCCAGGACAATCTTAGAGGGCTGGCAATCCTAAATTACTTCTACATTAATAGGGTGATTTCATTCACTGTTCATAAGGGCGGGGAGGGAGCAGAGGTGTTCAGGTAGCAGGTCTCCCTAGACTGGATTGTCGGGGGGAGTGTTGTGCCTTGTACTACTCTTAGGGTGACCAGATGTCCTGATTTTATAGGGACAGTCCCGATTTTTGGGTCTTTTTCTTGTATAGGCTCCTATTACCCCCCAGCCCCTGTCCCGATTTTTCACATTTGCTGTCTGGTCACCCTAACTACTCTAGCCCCCAAGTTGGCAGCTGTCACAACCCTCCCATCCTTACCTAGCAGCGGAAAGCGAGTCTCGGGCTCCGCTTTTAGGTTTCCCTGCCCCACGGGTCCGCTCGGCCAGGCTCCGGGTTTTTTCTGCACCCATCGCAGTCGTGAGGGCATCCCGCATCTGACCCCGATCCGGCACCGCCTCCTCCCTTGCAGGGAGTGGTCCATCTCCGTGGGGCGTGTCCCCCTGAGGAATGGAATCCCAGCTACTTGGTTCCTCCCGACCTCCCTCCGTCACGTGAAGCGGTATAATCAGGTGACTCATCACCTGATCCCAGTCAGCCTAACCTGCTGGCCCCAGCCAATCAAAACTCACGATTGTCAAGTTAGGCCAATCGGCGCGGAGGCAGGTTAGGTTGCATTAACGCGGCAGGACTCGGGGGTTCCTCGCAGCCCGCCCTAGGCGGAGTGGGAGCGAGGGGTTGTGGGGTCGGTAGTGCTGGAGCGGGCGGCTTGTGGGGATGGCGCTGCAGTTTGGGGGGCCGGGCTCGGTGGGGGGGACAGAGGAGCCGGCTTTAATCGGGGGCAGTTTTGGCGCGTCGGATTCGTTCCCCAAGGACTTCGGCTACGGAGAAGAGGAGGAGGCGGAACTGGACGGGGGCTCCGGCCCTGGAGGAAGCGGTGGCGTCCCGGGCGTGGCTGGGGGCGGCCCGGGCGGTGCGGATTCCAAGCCCCGCATTCTACTCATGGGATTGCGGCGTAGCGGGAAATCGTCTATCCAGAAGGTGAGGCCGGGGGGGGAGCGGGAGCATACAGGGGCTGTTCGTGGCTAGAGGGCTCCAGGGGGTGGCCAAGGGGTGCGGGGGCTAAGATGTAGCTGCTGTATTTGTACCTTCACTTCGACTCTCGCCTTTTCCCTTTATCTCCCGCACCATAAATGAGGCACCCGAATCTTGAGAAGAACCCTTCTCTGAGCAGCAGTTAAGGCCTCGATACTGGTTATGTAGGCACTTCTAGTGTAGTTGCCCTTGTGCATTGAAATGGGCCCTGAGCTTGCTTGGTCCTCCGGTTTCCTTATCTTCGCAGTAAGTTGTGTGGTAAGCTGCCTAGGGCAGGGGTATTTAGCAGGCCGGCAGCCCGGCGGGCGGGAGGGTGGGGCTGCTGCTTGTCTCTCTGGCTGAGGGGTAAGTGCCACCTGCACTGTCTTGAATCCTCTATGTGGCTTGTTTCTAACGAAACTTCTTTCTCTGCTTTGAACGGGTTAGTAGGCAACTTCTTCTTTTTAAAGCAGCAGCATATAGAGAAGTTGAACAAGAAGGTTCTTATTTTCCAAAAATGCATTTTCTGTCTGCAGAGATGTGTGCTTCACTTTGAGTTTGGGCTACAGCCTTTTTTTATTCCTGATGCACAGGTGTCTTCTCCCCAAAACCAAGGTGTGTCTCAGGAAGCGAAACAGGCAGATGTTTCTGAGACTTTTATCTACATGTTGATTTAAAAATAGGGTAAGCCACACCAGTGTGACGAATCTGCATTGTTGTGACTAAAATTGCCAATTCAGACAAGCCTTTAGTTCTTTTTAACATTTTTGGGAGCTTCTCAGATTTCATTATCTATGGGGGCAAAAGCATAATTAGATCTTCTAGATTTGCGTCTTTGAGGCAAAGAGAAAGATGGACACTTTTGGATGGTGAATACATCAACAAATGACAACAATGTGTTAGACTTGTTGTTATTCTTCATAGGGCTGCTAGAGCATTCTGCCCATCAAGGTCATTGTGATGAGCTTCAAAATAGAAGTCTAATTTTAGAAAAATGCAGTGGTGTTATAGTAATCCTTAATTCTTGCCTGCAGGTCTTCATAGTCTACACACAGCTTTCCTTGCTAAGCCCTTTTCTGTGACCTCCCCCCGTGTAAAGTGGTGTCAGAGTATCGCAGTGTAGAGCATTGCCACGGCAGTAGCAATCTGAGCAATAACCTGATTTTTCTGGTCAAGCCTTGATAACAGTTCTCAATGTCTGTTAGCCAAAGGGACAAGCCTTCCTAACAGTATGAAATTCAGTGGTCTGCTGGGCCACCCTTCTTTCTGCCTGCTCCCCTGGTTTTATTTCCTTTCTCCTCCATCTCAAGTGCTGGGATGACCGTATAACCTCATGCACCAACTCAGCTAGGCTTAACATTGTGTGTGGATGCCAGGCTCTCACTTCCCAAAACAGGTCCTCTACTTTCAGCTTGCCCCATGGTCAGAGACCCCATGGTGTAGCATTTCCTCTGACCAAAGACACACTGACCATGCATCTCAAGAAAACTGATGTGGACATCAGAAGCTGGGAAGAGCAAGCCACCAACAGATCTCAATGGCGCCACATTCTTCATCAGGCAGTGGCCTGCTTTGGGGAGAAGCGCCTTCCCCTCAAAGCTGAAAGAGAGCATTAAGGAAAAAGAAAAAACTTTCTCCCAGCAGGCAGCTAACCCACCAAGAAATGTCTGTACCTACTGCGGGTGGATCTGTGGATCCAGGATGGGACTCCTGAGTCATCTCAGGACCCTTTTGTAAATCTGTGGTACAGATCATCCCTGAATTGAGGGATTGCCGATGATGATGATGACCTCAGTCAGACACAGACTCAGCTCGGAGCTCCAAAATAATGCGCTGTCTCCAGATATGTAAACGTTGACAATTTTATTGTCATGAGTCTTTCTTGTTTAAAGCCCTGGACTTGCAGGTCATTGGGAGTTTTTAACAAAAGTTTCTGACTCATGGTTGTGGAGAAATACTGGAAAAAGTGAAACCTAAAGATAAGTCCAGAAGGCAGATTTAAAATAATACATTGAGGATTTTTTTAATCTCATGATTAAACTAATCTCATGATTTTGGGGGGGCTTGACTCATGACTTCTGAATGCTTGTCTGGCAATAGTATTCATACTGGGCCTCACACAGTGCTGCTCTCTGCTGGAGGGGGAGGAGGTCATTTGTCCCCCATACAGTCCTCTGCTTGTAGCTCCTAGCCTGCTCAATAAACAGGAAACATGGAGCTGAACTGCTTGAAGACCAGAGAAGGTCTCTACTTGCCATCCTAGCAGAGGACTCTTGTACTGGGAATCCCCCAGTACCACGCCATCCAGCCGAGTGCTGTATATGGAAGGATCTAATAAGCCTTCTGGTGGTGTTTTTCAAAGTTCAGGTTGCGATCCAGTACTGGGTCGCAGCATATAAGGCACTGGGTCACTCTTGTCAGCACCTCTGACTGGGACGCCTGCGGGCGAGAGCTGTGCAGAGCCACTTGCGCACCTCTGCCAAGGAATTGGACCTGCTGCTGGCCGCGTCCAGGGTGCAGCATGGGCTGCAGTGCCAGGACAGGTGGGAAGCCTGCCTCTTCACCCTGGCTGCACCACTGACCAGGAGCCACTGGAGGTAAGTTTGCGCCCCAATCCCCAGCCTCAGCCCTGAGCTCCTGAAACCCCTTCCTGCACCCCAAGCCCCTCAGCCCTGGCCCCACCCCAGAGCCCTGATCCCCTCCTGCACCCCAACTCCCTGCCTTAGCCCAGAGCCCCCTCCCACACCCAAACCCCTCATCCCCAGCTCCGTTGGGTCGCAGGCATCAACAATTTTCTTCAACTGGGTCCCCAGAATTTTTTTTTTTTTTAAACTACTGCCTTATGGAGTGTTGGGGTAGAATTCGCAGGGGCTCACACATATGCAGAGCCCTCTGCTGGTGTGGGGTAGCATTGCCAGCAGGGGCCCTCCACAAATTGTAGACAAGCTGACTGTTGCTTGGAAAAGATTCCTACTTGATGTGGGCAAGTGGATTTTTCAAACTCTGTGTTGTGGTACGGAGGGCCCAAGAAACTAGAAGAAAAGGTTGTGGATGGCTGCTGAGAAGCACAATAAGAATCAATAGACAAAAGCCAGCTCTGGACTCCATGAAGTTGTGGACAGCCATATTCTTTGGAGCATTGCTTATAGCTAGTGGTATTCCCTGATGAATTGGATATCTAGTCCTAATATATAGCTAGTGCTGCTCCTTCTGTTGGCTGTGGCCCAATGATAGTTTTCTTGATAGGAGTTGCCATACCTGTGTTGTCAGCACAGTCTAGTCCCTGTATCTAGCAGTGACTGATATGTAATGCTTTTGAGGAAGATGCAAGAAACCCTCCATTATGCAGTTATGGAATAACCGATCCACAGGAAAAGCTTTGTCCTAAGCTCCAATACTTAGAAGATGCCCTGAAGGGTTTAGATAGATTCTTTTCAAAACTCTTTAATTTCTTGCTACTATAACTGGATGATATTGTTATCTGTATAACCATTCAGTCTGTGTGTGAACCCTACTAAGTACTTGGACCTATCAGTATCTTGTGGTTGTGAGTGACGTAGGTAAATTGTGAACTGTGTGAAATTATTTGTTTTGATCAATTTAATTACCCCCCCCCCTTTTTTTTTTTAATGTAAACTATCAGGCACTGCTGTTCAGCTTGCTTTCTCTGACATTATTTACCTTGTTTACCATTGTTGTGTCCTCTGATTCATCTTAACGCTAAACAGTCCCCATCTCTTCCTATGAAAGTTTTTTCCTAAGTTTTTAGTTGTCTGAGTCATTCTTGTTGCCCATCTGTTTGCTGCATTTTGACTGGTGATGCATATCTATCAAATCTTCATTGAACTGCCCACAGTGATACCCAAGTCTCTTTTTTCCTAAGTTGTTGTTAACCTGTAGCTCAGTAAGGTGTGTAAATCATTCAGATGATTCCTTCCAATGTCCATGGCTTTGCATTTGTTAACAATGAATTTAAACTGCTTTCCTGTTAGGTCACTGTTGTCAGGTCCCTCTGAAGCTTGTCAGTTTTCTCCAGACTCCATTAACCTGAGTAATCTTGGGGCTTGTCTCGACTACAAAATTAAGTCGACCTTAGTTAGGTCAATATATAGCCACTGCAGTAATCACTGTGTTAATCTTTCCAGCTATACTTTTAACCCGGCAGAAGAGTCTGTTTTATCTTGGGGCCTCTCCTTTTGTCCCTCCAGACCCACGAACATGATACAGTTCTGCGGTGACCTAGAATCGTACTTTCGATGTCTCTGACTCAAAGAATATTTCCAACCCACCTCTGAACAACATACTAACCCACAGAATCCTCTGTACCAGCATTAAGAAAAAAAGGATTCTGCGTGGACTCCTCCTGAAAGTTGAAACAACAGACTGGACTTCTACATAGATTGCTTCAGTCAATGTGCACGGGCTGAAATTGTGGAAAAGCAATATCACTTGCCCCATAACCTTAGCCGTGGTGAACACAACGCCATCAACAGCCTCCGGAACAACTCTGACATCATAATCAAAAAGGCTGACAAAGGAGGTGCTGTCGTCATCATGAATAAGTTGGAATATAAACAAGAGGCTGCTAGGCAGCTCTCTAACTCCACATTATACAGGCCATTATCCTCTGATC